TGGATCCCTCCCCGCCCCCCCAATTGTAAATATGGACTGCTTCTCCCTGGGTGCCTTTTTTGTACAAGGTGTGGTCCATCCACGCTGTGGAATATTATGCAGCCATGAAAAGGAACGAGGCTCTGATGGGCATGAACCTTGAGGACATCACGCTCAGTGAGAGAAGCCAGACACAAAAGGCCACATAGTGTGTGAATCCGTTTACACGAAATGCCCAGAACAGGCCAATGCAGAGACAGAAAGAGGATGAGTGGTTGCCGGGGGCTGGGGAGGGGAAATGAGGACGGACCGCTTCACGGAAACGGGGTCTCCCTTTTGGGGCGATGAGAATGTTCTGAAACATTCTCATCAGAGAATGAGAGGGAGAGGTCGGAGTTGCACAATGTGAACGCACTCTTTATTTTTTTAGTTAATTCTTTTATAGAGAAGGGGCCTCACTGTGTTGCCCAGGCTGGTCTCAAACTCCTCGTGTCAGCCGGGCGCGGTGGCCCACACCTGTGATCCCAGCACTTTGGGAGGCCGAGGCGGGTGGATCACGAGGTCAGGAGATCGAGACCATCCTGGCTAACACGGTGAAACCCCGTCTCTATGAAAAATTAGCCGGGCGAGGTGGCGGCACCTGTAGTCCCAACTACTCGGGAGGCTGAGGCAGGAGAATGGCGGGAACCCAGGAGGCGGAGCTTGCAGTGAACCGAGATTGTACCACTGCACTCCAGCTTGGGCGACAGAGTGAAACTCCATCTCAAAAAAAATTAGCGGGCGCCTGTAATCCCAGCTACTCGGGAGGCTGAGGCCGGAGAAATGCTTGGACCTGGGAGGCGGAGGTTGCAGTGAGCTGTGATTGCACCACCGCACCCCAGCCTGGGCAACAGAGCGAGACTCCATCTCAAAACTAAACAGAAAATACAAAAATGAGCCGGGCGTGGTGGCGGCACCCGTAATCCCAGCTACTCGGGAGACTCAGGCAGGAGAATGGCGTGGACCCGGGAGGCGGAGCTTGCAGTGAGCCGAGATCGCACCACCGCACTCCAGCCCGGGTGATAGAGCGAGACTCTGTCTTGGAAAAAAAAAAAAAAGTAACTTTCTAGTATGTGAATTTCACAATTTTTGTAAGAGAGCCACCGAGGGGCTGTGAGGTGCAGGCAGCACTGGCAGGAGCCTGAGGGTTGGAGGAAGGAAGGTCCTCCCTGAGGGGATGGTGGCAGGTGC